ACGATGCTCGGGGACCCTTGACTGCTCCGTGAGGCTCCCTACCCTGCCATTGCTCTGCAAGGCTCCTCTCGACCCACCATGCTCCAGAAACTCCCCCCACCCCGCCACTGCTCCGTGAGGCTCCCCCCCCCTCAACTACTACAGGGAACTCACTGCCACCACCGCCACTGTTCAACAGTCCCCAGTCCCGCCTACCACCACCCTCCTCAGGGCGAGTGGCTCCGGAGTGGGGGTGGGACCAGTCATCCGTACGGTTGTGCAGGCACCTCACTCTTTTATGTATTAGGATAGCACTGGAAGTCCTAGCCACCACATTCAGACAAGAAGAAGAAATGAAAGGTAGCCAAACTGAAAAAGAGGAAGTAAAACTCTACTTATTTGGAAGTGACATGATATTGTATATAGAAATCTCTATAAACTCCACCAAAAAAATTATTAGATTAATAAATGAATTTGGCAATGCAGCAGGATACAAAATCAAAACCCAGAAATCAATGGCTTTTTAATACACCAATAATGAATTCTCAGAAAGAGAAACTAAACAAACAATTCCATATAGCATTACAACAAAAAAATTTAAAACATTAGGAATAAACTTAACCACGGAGGCAAAAGACTTGTACTTGGAAAACTACAAAATGTTGAAAAGCCGAAACCGGTTTGGTTCAGTGGATAGAGCATCGGCCTGCGGACTGAAGGGTCCCGGGTTTGATTCCGGTCAAGGGCATGTACCTGGTTGTGGGCACATCCCCAGTGGGGGGTGTGCAAGAGGCAGCTGATCAATGTTTCTCTCTCGTCGATATTTCTGACTCTCTATCACTCTCTCTTCCTCTGTAAAAAAATCAATAAAATGTATATTTTTTAAAAATGTTGAAAAAAGAGATAGGGGAAGATATAAAGAAGTGGAAGAATATATATATACAGTGTTCATGGATTGGTAGACTCAATATCATTAAAATGTCCATATTACCCAAGGCAATCTACAAATTCAATGCAATCCATATTAAAATACCAACAGTATATTTCAAAGATCTAGAACAAATACTCCAAAAATTTATATGGAACCAAAAAAGATCTTGAATAGCTGCACCAATCTTGGGAAAGATGAACAAAGTTGGAGGAATCACAAGGTCAGATTTCAAGTTATTCTACAAATCCACCCTAATCAGAGAGGAAGAGAGAGGGATAGAGAGTTAGAAATATCGATGAGAGAGAGTCATCGATCAGATGCCTCTTGCACACCCCCTACTGGGGATATGCCTGCAACCAAGGTACATGCCCTTGACTGGTATCGAACCCAGACCTTTCAGTCTGCAGGCCAATGCTCTATCCACTGAACCAAATCAGTTTTGGCCAAATCAACCATAATCAAAACAGCCTGGTATTGGCACAAGAACAGGCATATAGACCAATGGAACAGAACAGAGAACTCAGAGATCTATCTAAGCCATTATGCCCAATTAATATTTGACAAAGGAGACAAGAGCATACAATGGAGTCAAGAGAGTCTCTTCAATAAAAGGTATTGGAAAAATTTGACAGATACAAGCAAAAAAATGAAATTAAACCATCAACTTATACCACACACAAGAATAAACTCAAAGTGAATAAAGACTTAAATGTAAGTCATAGAATCATAAAAGTCCTAGAAAAAACTATTGGTGGCAAAAGGTCAGACATCTCTTATAGCAATGTGTTTATGGAGATATCTCCTAGGGCAAAGAAAACAAACAAATTAACAAATGGGAAAATAAACAAATGAGACTACATCAAAATAAGAAGCTTCTGCACATCAAAACCACCGTCAACAAAATGAAAAGTGAGCCCCTGGTATAGGAAAACATATTTGGCAATGATATATCTGATAAAGGGTTAATATCCAAAATATATAAGGATTTCATACAACTGAACAAAAGGAAGATAAACAATCCAATTAAAAATGGGCAATGGACCTAAATAGACACTTCTCCAAAAAGGACGTATAGATGGCCAAAAGTCATATGAAAAAATGCTCAAAGTCCCTGACCATCAGAGACTTACAAATGAAAACAATAATGAGGTATCACCTCACACCTGTCAGAATGGCTACCATCAACAAATCTACAAATGCCAAGTGCTGGCGAGGATGTGGAGAAAAAGGAACCCTAGTACACTGCCATTGTGGAAAACAGTGTGGAATTTCCTCAAAACATTGAATATGGAACTGCCAGTTGACCCAGTGGTCCCACTTCTAGGAATATATCCCAGGGAACCCGAAACACCAATCAGAAAGGATATATGCACCCCTATGTTCATAGCAGCACAACTTACAACAGCTGAGATCTGGAAAGTGCCCATCAGTAGATGAGTGGATAAAAAAATCTGTGGGACATTTATACCATGTGGTACTGTGCAGCAGTAAAAAGAAAAAACTCTCACCCTTTGAGACAGCATGGAGGGACCTGTAAGGTATTATGCTAAGTGAAATAAGCCAGTCAGAGAAACACAAGTATCACATGATCTCACTGATATGTGAAGTCTAAGTAACAAAATAAACTGATGAACGGAGTGGATCCAGAGGCTGGAAGTGTGGAACAGAGGCGGAATCTTGGAGGAAAAGTGGGGGAGGGTGGGTGGGTGGGTGGGAGGTAGTCATCCAAGGACCTTGTATGCATAATCACATGGAAACAGACAATGGGGTGGTGAGGGCCTGGGGCTGTGGGAGGAGCGGGCTGGAAGGGATCAGTGGTGAAAAAAGGGGACATATGTAATACTTTCAACAATAAAGATTTAAAAATAATTTAATAAGCAAGGACAGTTTATTTATTTATTTACTAGAGGCCCAGTGTATGAAAGTTCAAGTCCTGGAGGGGAGGGGATCCCTCAGCTCAGCCTGCCCCCTCTCACAGTCCAGGAGCCCTCAGGGGTGGGAGGCAACCGAGCGATTAGGGTAAGATGATACCCCATCACACCTCTGCTGCTGGCACTGCCCACAGTGCAAGCCTCGGCTGGCTCTGGTTACCTGTGCCTTAGATGGCACTGAGTGGCTGGGTAGCTGTCATCAGAAGCTTGCCTGCACCTTGGGCAGCCCTGGGCAGCTGGGGGGCTGAGTGTGGATCTGGCCACAGCGTGCGCCTGCCACCCCCTGGCCGGAATGAAAGGACTGGGGGACTCTAGTGGGGCTGAGGGGCCTGGGTGCTACCATCTTGTGGCAATGGATGCCACTATCTTTGTGATAGTGTGATTGTCAATTTGCATATTCCCTCTTTGTTATATAGGACTTATTTGTTTGTTTGTTCATTTGTTTATCTAACTCAACAATGGACTGACAAGTCCATTCACCCATTTTTGGAATGTTTCTTCCCATTCAGGGATGTTTTTCTAGTTTACAGAAAACACGGAGCTTAGGGGAGCTCTGGGGGCCATGAAAGCTTTCACATATATGGAACCTCTGCCCATTTTCCTTGGGAATGATAAAACACGACCCAGCTGCAGGAAAGAAAAGATTAATGGGTCCCCGAGCATCGTGGAGTGTCCAGAGCAGGGAGCTTAATTATTTATTTTTTACAGAGAGGAAGGGAGAGGGATAGAGAGCTAGAAACATCGATGAGAGAGAAACATCAACCAGCTGCCTCCTGCACACTCCCAACTAGGGATGTGCCCGCAACCAATGAACATGCCCTTGACCGGAACTGAACCTGGGACCCTTCAGTTCGAAGACTGATACTCTATCCACTGAGCCAAACTGGTTTTGGCATCAGACCATCCTTTGTGGTGACTTTAGGTCTCCTGAGTTTGCAAGGCTGCCAGGAAGGCCTTCCCATAGCTTGTCAGGTTAGATGTGTCTCCTTTTTCATCCACACTGGCAACCAGACATGGTGAGGAGTGACGATACTGAGAAGCAGATGGCTCCTGACCTCTGTACTTTGCACTACATAAGCACTCCTGCCTGGGATCTGTGGTGGAAAGAATATCCAGCCTTTAGAAATGTCTTATAAGAGTTTGAGCAAAGCTTTGAGGTTGTGCTCAGAAGTAAAATCTCAAGGGATTGAGGAAATGCTCTGCAAAACGGCAGTTTTGTAGCTTATGTGCATGGGTGGGGTCCCTTGGCCTGGCTGGCAATTGAGGTCTATTGGAGTGGGGGGTAGGCCAGCCAGAGGGAGGGGCCGAGGGAGGTTGGCTGTGGGAGTGCACTGACCATCAGGGGGCAGCTCCTAAGTTGAGCATCTTCTTCCTGGTGGTCAGTGCACCTCATAGTGACTGGTCAACTGGCTGTTCAAGTGGTTGAGTACTAATGGTTGCTTAGGCTTTTGTTTAGATGATAGATAGATAGATAGATAGATAGATAGATAGATAGATAGATAGATAGATAGATAGAGAAAGGAGGTGTACAGAGGATTACATGAAACCCTCCATTGTTGGTAAATAATGGGGCAGGAGAAAGCAAAGTGGGGAAATTTCAAGGATTGGGTGAAAAGCAAAATGAAGAGACACATACTTCTTTCACATGGGCAGGTAAGCATAGTGAACATCTGCAGCTCAAGGAGGCAGTATGTGGGACGGGTAACAAGGGGGGGGGGGCGGATGGTGGTCCCCAGTTCTGGAGCCTGCCGTGGTGCCTTCCAGGGACCCAGAAAATGACTCTCACCTCTCAGAGGTGGGTTACCCGAGATGCCAGGCCGTGGAGGGGTCACTTAAGGTAAAGATCAAGCAGCGTAGGACCTGAGGACTTACTATGACCTGCTTAGATAGAAAATTTTCAGAACCTCTGGCCTCCATCCTAGGAACCAGACCCGCTCAAGCGCCGGTTTCCTGCCGGCTTCCTTCCGGGAGGGCGCAGGCTCGACCTGGTCTCCACTTCCGGCTTCCGGAGGGCGGGCGCGCTTCCGGTTTCATGGCGACCCGAGCCCGGCGGCGCAAGGCGGCCCCTCCCTGCGAGCGGCCGGAGGCGGCGGCGATGTGACCCGCGGGGCCTGGTGCCGGGCGGCGCGTCAGCTCCTTGTCGCCCTCCGTCCGCGCGGATGGCGGCGTCCGGCTGCGCGTGGGGCGCCGAGCCGCCACGGTTCCTGGAGGCCTTCGGGCGGCTGTGGCAGGTGCAGAGCCGCCTGGGCAGCGGGTCGTCGGCGTCGGTGTACCGGGTGCGCTGCTGCGGCTCCCCGGGCTCGCCCCCCGGCGCGCTCAAGCAGTTCCTGCCGCCCGGCGCCTCCGGGGCCGCCGCCTCGGCCGCCGAGTACGGCTTCCGCAAGGAGCGCGCGGCGCTGGAGCAGCTGCAGGGCCACCGGAACATCGGTAATGGCGCCGCGCTGCGGCCCTGGGCGGGGGCGCCGAGCCCTTCCCGGGACGGCGGCCGCGGCTTTGCTGGACCGCCTGTGCTGCCAGAAAAGTTTTCCGCCATTGCACAGCGGTGAAAGAACGGGAAATGCTTCTGGGGCTTGGGCATCCCCGCCGACACCCGTAGGTGCCCCGCGGTCCGTAGGGAGCCCGCGGGGGAGAAATGACTCAGTGTTTCGCGGCGCCCTGTGCGAGTGCGAGAGGTGTGCGCTGTGCTCTACGCCTGTGGCTCAGACACCGAATGGGAGATCCGCACCGATCACTGAGATCGGCCCGTGAAAGCGGCCCAGGTGTCACTGCCCCACAGAGCTGAGTGGTTAGGGCTTTGCCTAATCCATGTTTACTTCCTGGTGAGCTTCGTTCGAAGACTGGCCTTTTTTAAATATTACTTTTTGGAGAAGAATTTAGTATTAATTTGTGCGTGTGTTTTAAAGGCTGCGTCTTGTCCATGCTCATGGACTTTAAGAGTGAATTTTTTTTTCCAGTTTGTACAAACCTAAGGACTTGTTGAATCTGAAAGATTAGATGCAAATGCCATCTTTAAAAGTCTCTTAACATTTAGGTAATAGAGTGCTATTTTGGATCAAGAGTCAATATTCAAAATTTGTTTTTTTCACACTGCGACATTCATCTTAAGAGTAGTACTTACTATTTGGATTTTTTTCTTAAATTTTTCCCCCCCATCATTTTTGCTTGGTACCTTCAGTATTCATTGAGTACTTAGTGATATACAACTTGAATTATTGTGCCACATTTAATATCTTTGAATAGTAATCAGCTGCTGAAAGTAGTATCATCTTATAACCCAATTACCCAAAAATCTTTTTACAGTAGAAGCTTCCTTGCCAGATTTATAAACCATTACAATTTGTCTCTTTTCATAGTCACTTTGTATGGAGTCTTTACAATCCATTTCTCTCCAAACGTGCCGTCTCGCTGCCTGCTGCTTGAGCTCCTGGACGTCAGCGTTTCAGAGTTGCTTTTATACTCCAGCCAGCAGGGCTGCTCCATGTGGATGATACAGCACTGTGCCCGCGACGTGCTGGAGGCCCTCGCTTTCCTTCATCGGGAGGGCTATGTTCACGCAGACCTCAAACCACGTAACATACTGTGGAGTGCAGAGAACGAATGTTTTAAACTCATTGACTTTGGACTTAGCTTCAAAGAAGGCAATCAAGTAAGAAATATGTTCCCCCCCCACCCGCCCACACACCCCCATCAGGATCGAAGCTAAATGTCTTTAAATAGCAGAGGTGGTTTAGTAGAGGCTTAAAAGATACTAACTTCAGGGATGAAATTTCTGGGGATAAAGCACATTAAAAATTTTTCGTTGCCAGCATGAAAGAAAGGCCATATGTTTGGGTCAGGTCAGGGAGACTAGTGTTAGGAGTAATTCACCTGTAAAATGCTTTTTTATTCTTTGAGCATTTGGTTACTTGCTGAATTATTGGTGTCTGCAGTGTTGGGGCTCCTGGGAGAACACATTTGGGTTCTGGCAGCCCCCCATTCATTTTGGTCTGTCAGCTTTTTGCACAGTGTTTATTAGCAGGAGCTAGCGGGCAGGAGACTGCGGAAACTAGCAGCTGTCTGGAAATCACGCAGCTGCCACCTGTGGACTGAAGAATGCGGGCAGCCAAGGACTGATTGTTTTGCATTCAGTTGCCAGCAGATACAGTGTCCTGGTGGGTGGTGGATGGAAAGGGAGCAGCTTTTTACAGGTTGTGATGTTTACTCATCTTCAGGATGTGAAGTATATTCAGACAGACGGGTATCGGGCTCCAGAAGCAGAACTTCAGAATTGCATGGCCCAGGCTGGCCTGCAGAGCGACACAGAGTGCACCTCAGCCGTTGACCTGTGGAGCCTCGGCATCATTTTACTGGAAATGTTCTCAGGCGTGAAACTGAAACACACCATCCGGTCTCAGGAGTGGAAGGTAACCACGCCCGTGCTTTGTTGGGGGTCCCTTGTCGCAGTTTCAGATTCCGAGACTTACAGTGATTCTTGGTGAGGACTCTGCCTCACACTCTCTATCCCCCACTCTGCACTGTGGCTCCTGACAGCTGCGGTTCCTCCCACAGCTGCAGGCGCTGCTCAGCACTGTGCTCACTGCCTGGGCTCAGGCCTGGCGTGGATCCACGTCAGTGCTGGGACAATGGCCTTTTCCTGAAGAAGCAAAGAGATTTCTTTTGTTTAGTAATTTAGTTATTCTGCAGTATACAGCAGTATGTTACCAGTTAAATGCTATTCTTTACATTGTGCTTACAGCTAATGCAGGTGAAACATTTTAATGCACAGCCTCATTGAATTCTGATATTGCTGTGAGGACGTCAGAGAGATGTTGGCCACTCTGTTCAAATGAACCAGAGACTCAGATATGGAAACCTCTGGCTCTGGATCATATGACTGTCCTCCCCCCCTCAGGCTTTGTCCACTGCCCTACACACCTTCCTGCTCGTCCGCCATGTGTGCACTTTCCTGGCAATGTGACTGCTGCTTACAGCATTGTTACTGTGGGGACAGGGACTGAGTTGCAAGCCTGTGACACAGGAGTGAGTTTTCTGTGTGTTCACAAGAATTAACCTCAGTATGGCTTTAAACACATTCTGGGGCTTTAATGTTGTGATGATGTTAGTATCCTTCAGGCTAGAGGTTTGGTAAATAGTACAATGTATAGGAATTTTGATGTAAACATCTGATACCGAGTGTGTGGTTGTTGGGCCTTTAGGAGTAGCAGCTCTTGGAAGGAATGTTTTAATCATCTAGTCGGTTACTAACTGCTTACTTTTGGCTAAAAACATGCTGCAGGCGATTAAAGCCAGTATCACTCTCTGTCGTTGGTGCTCCCTGCAGCTGGGAGGCCAGATACCTTCCCTGGTGTCAGTGCAGATCAGTCCTCCCAGGGTTTCCACTGTCTGGTTCTGCTTGGGCCACAATCAGACTGGGCCACAGTCGGGAATTTTGTGGTGAAATTTGGAGGCATTATGTGTACTCAATGGAATCCCCAGTATTCACTTCCTGGATAAAAAAATCATTACATATTTCATCACTTTCTCTGAAGGCAAAATTGCCAAGTGAGTGTGAGCATAGGCTCTGGAGTGGTATGATGAGGTTCAGATCTTGCCTTTAGCTCTTACTAAGCTAGTTATTTAGGTTCACGAGACCATGGTTTACTTCTTGTAAAACAAGGATAATCCTGTATAATAAAAGGTTAATATGCAGATAGACCGAATGGCGGAATGACCAGTCGCTCAGTGCAGGAGCTGCCCCCTGGTGGTCAGTGCACTTCAACACGGGGATCCAAAAGGTAGTGGTGGGAGCTCCCACCTCCCCAGCAGCACTAAGGATATCCAACTAAGCCATCAGTCGGACATCCCCCGAGGGCTCCTGGACTGAGAGGGTGCAGGCCAGGCTGAGGGATACCCCTCTCCCCCCCAGTAAACAAATTTTGTGCAGTGGGCCTCTAGTCCTATATAATAAAAGCCTAATATGCTAAGTGTCTGATCATTCGACCAGTTGCTATGATGCCCACTGACCACCAAGGGACAGACACTCTGTCCGGTAGGTTAGCTTGCTGCTAGGGTCTGGCTGATTGGGACTGGGCAAGACGGGCTGGACATGCCCTGGAGCCCTCCTGTGGTCCCTTCCCAGCCCCTATTGGGCACCGGTGGAGTCCCTGAGCTGGCCTGTGCCCTCTAGCAAACTGGGACTTTTCGGCAGTTGTTGGAGAGTCGGTTTTGACCTGATCCTCATAGGCCAGTCATATGTCTAATTAGAGTATTGGGGTTAAAAAAGAAATGCCTAGTTCTTAACATGTGTGTGCCTATGGGACATTTAGAAACTTTGTGAACATGATGCTGTCAGGTCTTTTTACTCATGTATATTACGGTACTTCCAAGGTACTCAGAGAAATAGTATGCCTCACAAGGATGTAGAATGTGAATAATATAACAAATGCAGTTTTTAAATCGTGCCTTATTCTTCTGGATAATTTATTTTATTTCTATCTGAAACCAACGGCAGACTCATCACTGAGACACAGGCTAACCCAGCCCCCCTGCATTTTCTCACTTTGCGTTGAGCTGTATTCTATGTGGTTACTTTGGTGTTTCTTCGCTTACTCTCCCATCAGTTGGTGCTGGTAGCAGGCCAGGTGCTGAGGCTAGGATACAAATAATTCTGTACAAATCTCTTAAGATCGGGAGCTCGAGGAAGAGGGGGTTTCTGTTGCGTTTGACTTAGCAGCTAGTGCCTGGTACGTTAGGAAATACTGACTGGATTAAATAACCAAAGGAAGACGCTTCTTCCTCCTTTTAGGCAAACAGTTCCGCCATCGTCGATCACATATTTGCCAGGAAAGCGGTGGTGAATGCTGCAATCCCAGCCTATCACCTGAGAGACCTTATCAAAAGGTATGTCACTTTTACTTCAACTTTGCTATTCAGTGAAGAAATTCAGTTATTATTTCTGGTTTGTTTGATCATGTAGTGTGCCATGCTCAGCATGGCCAGGGGTGAACCTGAGAGGGAGCAGATTAAAGAAGACAGACAAGAGAATAAAGGTGGGGCTAGGTGGGATGCTGCTCTCCAGTGGAGAGACAGTGCCACAGCCTGCAAGCCGAGTCTTTATTTTATAGTTCAGACTAGTGACCCGGTGCACAAAATTTGTGCACATTAAAAGGGGATTAATTAGAAGAAATAATTTAATATTGCTATTTGCCCTTTCTCTATAATAGCAGTGCCAGAGATGAAAGAAAATTAGTAAAATGTATATGAAAACCTTCTTCCTGTCAGAGTCTGGGCCTCACCCATGGGACCCAGAATCAAGTCCCTGCCCACCCACATGCACCTTAAAATTGTGTGAGATCCAGACCCATCCAGCCATCCCCACCATTGGGCTAGATCCAGACCCGGCCATTCCCACCCTTGTCAAGCCCTGATGGGCAGGGGGCATAGCCTGAGGTCCCCCAGCCCAGACTCAGGCGGGGGCATGCCTTGAGGTCCTCCATCAAGCCCTGCCAGGTGGGGAACAGGGCCTGAGATCCCCTGTCAAGCCCCGCCAGATGAGGGGAGGGGAGGTGCAGCCTCAGGTTTCCTGGCCCAGCACCAGGAGGGGGGCACAGCCTCAGGTCTCCCGTCAAGCCCCACTTGGTGGGGGCATGGCCTGAGTTCCCTCAACCCAGCACTGGGGTGCACCTGGACGTCCCTCATCAAGCCCCACTGGGTGGGGGTCTCCTGTCAAACCCAGCCAGACACGGGGGTGCAGCCTGAGGTCCCCTGTCAAGCCTCGTGGGCGGGGGTGTGGTCTGAGGTCCCCGGGCCTGGTGCTGGGGTGGGAGGAGCAGCCTGAAGTCCCCTGTAAAGCCCTACCTGTTGGGGGGTGTGGCCTGAGGTCCACCAGCCTGGTGCTGGGGAAGAGGGAGCAGCCTAGGTCTCCTAGCCCAGCACCAGGACAGGAAGCGAACCTTGAGGTCCCCTGTCCTGAGACTATGCCCGGGTGAGGGAGGGCATAGTCTCAGGTCCCTGCTGATTGCTCGTTAAGGCTCCTTATGGGAACTTGGCCTCAGCTGTGGGTGCAGCCATCTTTGTGATGGAGTAATGGTTAATTATCATATTTCCTCTATTAGGTAGGATTTCATGAGGTAAAGTATGGGCTTGGTCAAGATGTTTACAATATTCTCACAGGTTTGGGATCTACTCAATTACATGCACCTGATCAAGTTTTGTTTCCTTGCTGAACCTCCTGCAGCCTACATCACTCAGCCACCTGGGACCACAGGTTCGGAACATAAGGTCAAGTTTACAGCCATAGCCTTTGGCTATAATTGTGCTGGGAGGGCTTTGCCTTCCAAGTTGGGACTTGCACATGGCTTTGCCACGAGAGGACCGTGTCCTCTCATTAGTCTGAGGCTTGAACCTGTCCAAACGCTGTAGTCGCTCTCCACAATGTAGAAATAAAACCTACTTGAAACCTTCTATACAGGCCAGCTTCTAATGAGAAACTAAGTGATCAAGTCTTTTACTAAATTTATTTTCAGAGGGACATTCTTTTGTTCATGAGGAGTCCTAGGGAGCAGGCCTTCCTGCAGAGAAACGGTGATGGGCCCTGTGCCTTTGGCCTCTCATAGCCCTGGCTGTTCTGTGTACTTAAGAGAGTCTTTATACACTTGATGACTACGTTTGTTTTGGACTACCAAAAAGAGGGTTCAGGTGAGGTCATTATGTATTACACTTTAAACATTACCACTGAAAACTGTGGAACAGAACAGTGTTTTTGATTCCTGAGTAGATCCAGTCACAATAGATATATTAAAATAAGAAATAATGTGTATAATCAAATAGTTGATTTTCACAGTTCTAGCATTTGTGGTCCAGAAATGAATAAAACAATATGCTGCAAAAGGGTGGGTCTCCTGATCAAATCATCGTATTATTGTTTGGAATATTGATCCTGTAAATCTTCCAATTAGGTGTTTGTGGGTTTTGTTTGTTTTTATTTTTATAATGATTATAGATACATAGGAACTTGAGGTCTGCCCTTCAGCTATTTTCCCCCAGTGGTAACTTCTTTCATACCTGTCATGCTGGATCAGACCAGAAATGGGTGTTACAATCCATGGACTTGCTTCTATGTACCAGCTTTTCTTGTGAGACAAATTAAGCTTAGATAGCAGTTAGTAGATTAGTATCTGATGTCCGACATCACATGTTGCATTTTATCTTGAAAGGAAGCAGTGTAATACCCTAGCTGGTTTGGCTCAGTGGATAGAGTGTTGGCTTGCAGACTAAAGGGTCTCAGGTTTGATTCCAGTCAAGGGCACATGCCTGAGTTGCTGGTTCGATCCCCAGTAGGGAGAGTGCAGGAAGAAGCCAATCTCTGATTCTCATCATTAACGTTTATCTCTGAAATCAATAAAAAATATATCTATATACATATACACACATGTATATATAAAGAAGCAGTGTAAGATTATAGTATAATGGATTCTATACAACTGAAACTGATATAATATTGTACATCAACTGTAATTTTTTTTAAATGGGAAAAATTACATAAGGGACTAGAGACCTGGTGCACAAAATTCATGCAGCAGGGGTGGGGGGAAGGTAATCCCTCAGCCCAGCCTGAATCCTCTCCAATCTGGGAACCCTTGGGAGCAGTCACACCTCTCACAATCTGGGACTGCTGGCTCTTAACTGCTAGCCTGCTTGATTGCCCCCTAACTGCTCCCCTGCCAGCCTGATTCCCCCCATCTTCTCTCCCCTGCTGCCCCGATGGACCCCAACTGCCCTCTCCTGCTGGCCTGATCTCCCACAACTGCCCTCCCCTGCCAGGCACCTTGTGGCCATTTTATGAGGGCATGGCGCCACCTAAGCTTTTATTACATAGGATAAGACTAAAGGCCCATTGCATGAAAATGCATGTACTGTAGGAAGGGCCCCTCAGCCCAGCTTTCCACCTCATAATCCAGGAGCCCTCAGGGGCAGGTGGTGACCTGGTGATCAGAAGAAGGTGACGCCCCATCACACTTCTGCTGCCACTGCTGGCAGCGCAAGCCTCGTCTGGCCCTGGTTACCTGAGCCTTCGGTGACCAGGCTGCTGGGCAGCCGCCATCTGAGGCTTGCCTGCACCCCAGGCTGGCCTTGGGTGGCTGGGGCTGATAAGGGTCTGGCTGCACTGTGCGCCTGCTGCTGCTGCTCTTCCCCCCCTCTTCCCCCCCCCCCCCCCCCACCCACACACACACACTTTCCCAATGGGGCTGAAAGGACTGGGGGATTCTAGTGGGGCTGAGTGGACTAGGCACTGCCATCTTGTGGCTTTGGACTTGTGACGGAGTGATGATCAATTTGCATATTCCCTTTTTATTAGATAGGATTCTTGCTTGTAAGTCAGATCATCTAAGTTCTAGTATTGACTGAGATTTTTTTAATTATACAACTAATACTAAATTTGGAAGCTACAAAAAATTGTGATGAGGAAAATAAAATTGTACACCCTCTCTAGTGTTAGCAGTTGGTGCATTTCTTCTCAGTGTTTTCTTGTGTAGTTGGTTGAGTGTCCTGGCATGGTTATTTGAACTTCTCTGTGGAATTACACAGACACGGAGAACAAATGTGCAGCTCAGTGGATCCTTAGGCACTTTGTCCACCATTTAGGTCAAGAAACCGCTTCAAGGTCATTCCCAAGTCCCAAGTCTCCATTCAAGCCTCTTCCTCTTCCCCAAAGTAACCACTGCCCTTTCTTCATGCTGATTACCTCCTCGTTTCATTGTCATTACACACTGTGGTTTAGAGTTCTAAGAAGCAGTCCCTTTAAAATCTGTCTGAATCTAAAAAGTCTGTTTCTGTCTCCTACCCCCTCCCGTGTTTCTGTTTAACAGCTTGGGCTGTTGGCTCAGCACAGTTGCCCACAGTCTGAACTTGCAGGTTGTGTTATGTGGTGTGGTTTAGCAAGTTCTCTGCTTATTTCCTGTAAGCTGGTGGTTGTATCTAGAGGGTCAGAATTGTAAAGTAATTTTTGGTGTGACTGTAGTTGGCATAGTGGAGTTATAGGAAGGCGCCTGATCACCCGTCAGTTCTCATTGTCCAGATCTTTGTTAGGGGTGTTCTCATCTGTCATCTGTCCTTCCCAGGGCTAACCAAACAACAGGGAAATGCTTGATTCTCTCTCTCGTTTTCATAATGTGGCAATGCCCTATTGGTCTCCAAAGGAATCATGCCTTCTTTGGAACTTAAAAGTATCATTATTGACGAGTGGGTTCAAATACAGCTGATGTGTGTTTGCAGTCTTCTCTTCATTGGAGCTGTGTCCTGACTGAGGGACGGGAGCCTCTGCAGGTGGGCTCTGGTGGACCTCGTTATGTTCTGACAACTTCCTTGCTGTGACAGGCTGTTCCCAGTCACCTCTTACATGCCCTTCCCAGACCTGGAAGCAGCCACTTCTCCAGGAGGCATGGTTTCCTTTAGGGGGGAGTGGTGTTTTAGAATCACAGTCTGGGTAGTAGGTATGCTCATTGGCACTGGGTGGTGGTGTGTCTAGGCCTTCTGGGGGACAGAGGTCATACTGACGGTTACGTTCAAACGCAGGACAACCAGTGAAGTCTTCGTTTTACATCTCTGTCTCCTTTCTTCTGGGTCACCCGTGCTGGCTCCGAGCACAGAGGGGATGCAGAATGTTTCTTAACCACTCGTTTGCTTTGTATACTAATGGAATCCTGAAACAGCCTGGACACAGGACAGCCATTATTCTCGGAGCAGTTGCTGAAAGCGCTCTGTGTGCTGGGTTTTCCCGTCCTTCCCCCATTGCAGTAGCCGTTGTATCTGCACCAGCAGGTCACATGGCCACTGCGTCCTGTCCTCTGCCCTGACACTGACTCTGGGACTCGCTGGCTCTGGGGGTTAGTCTTTTCTCTGGTTCGCCAGGTCAGCTGGTGCTTTTCTGTGCAGCCTTCCACAAAGGTGCCAGTGGTGGGAGTCTCGCCGTGGGAAGTTTTGCCCCTTGCCTCTGTATTTTGGTGTTTATTAAAGTCACCTAGTTTTGTTGGTTGCTCCATATTGTTGTCATTGCTATCAAGTTGCTCAATTTTTGACAACATTGAAAGACCACCTCACCACTATCCTTTTTAATTTGTATTATTCAGTCTGTTTAGCTTTTCTTTCATTTAACATTATGAAGTATGGATCACTTTCTTTGTGTATTTATTAACCTAAACAAAAACATTTTAAATTGAAACATATTGTGCCCTAAGTTTGTATCACAATTTATTGAACCATCCTATCTAATAAAGAGGGAATATGCTAATTGACCATCACAAAGATGGCTGCGCCCACAGCTAGTCCAAGTTCCCATAAGAAGCCTTAATGAGCAATCAGCAGGGACGTGGGGCTATGCTCCCCGCGGCCCCCATGGGCTTGACATGGGACCTCAGGCCATGCCCCCACCCAACAGGGCTTGACAGGGGACTTCAGGCTGCTCCCCCCACCCCAGCACTGGGCCAGGGGACCTGGCTGCACACCCCTGCCTGCTTGGGCTTGATAGGGGACCTCGGCCGTGTACCCACCTGGCGGGGCTTGATGGAGGATCTCAAGGCATGCTCCCCGCCCAGGTGTGGGCTGGGGGACCTCCCACCATGTCCCCCATCCTGGCACAGGGCTTGACAAGGGTGGGACTGGCTGGGTCTGGATCTAGCCCAATGGGGGTCAGGGTCTCACGGGATTTTGAGGTGCATGTGGGTGGGCAGGGACTTGACTCTGGGTCCCATGGTGTACCCCAGACTCTAACAGGAGGAAGGTTTTCATACACATTTTACTAAATTTCTTTCATTTCTGACACTTCTATTATAGATAAAGGGCAAATAGCAATATTAAATTATTTTCTCTAATTAATCCCCTTTTAATGTGCACAAATTTTGTTTATAATGGTCACTAGTTTGTTTATAAGTAGCATCTTCGTTTTCACAGAGGAAGGATTCAGGAGTCACACTCAGGGGGTCGGTGCTGTGGTGCACTGTGTGGTGGTCTTCAGTGTTAGCGTTTTCAGGAGACGGACGATGCTCTCTTTCAGCATGCTGCACGAGGACCCGCGCCAGAGGGCTCCTGCCGACGTGGCTCTGTGCAGCCCCTTCTTCAGCATTCCGTTTGGTGAGTTGTGCGTGGCTTTGTTCCTTCCGGAGTTGTTTGACTAATGTATATTTCCAAGCTCCCGTGCCTGGTGTTCATCGATTTATTTAGGGAGCTGACATCTGACAATGTCTTAACCCCCACAGCCCCTCACATCGAAGACCTGGTGATGCTCCCCACCCCCGTGCTGAGGCTGCTCAATGTGCTGGACGGTGACTACCTCGAGAGCGAGGAGGGGTACGAAGGTCAGTGCCACCTCCGCTGGGTGCTCATACCTTCCTTAAGGGTCTGCTGGGGACACTCTCCCCAGGATTCTCAGCTTCCGCGTCTGCACAGTGAGGATATTGAATTCTGTGTTTAAAATGCTATCGCTTTCTGATTCCTGTTATAGAGTATGTCGTGTGTGTGTTTGTGTGTGTGTGTGTGTGTGTGTCTCCTGAACCCCCCAGAGTTCATATAGCAAAGCCCTCTTCCCAAATGTGATAGTAGAATTGGGAATTGGAGTTAGTTTTGGTGAATCTGAAGGCAGGTGACATTCAGAGGGCAGAGCATGAGTGACTGTGGGCGTCTCTGCAGAGCTGCACCTGAGCCCGACAAAAGTTGGCTGAGTCTGGGGATGAGAAGCAGCCAGAGACCTGGCTCAGGGCAGGTGCGTGTTCAGAGAGTGGCCAGCTGTTTGGTGTGGTTGCATCGTGGGATATTAGTTGGGGAGCAGTCAATTTGCTGTGTTGAAGAACTTGAATTTTATCCCTGAGGTCGCAGCCGTGGAACATAAGCTTGCACAGAGCTGTGGGTCAGGTCCAAAGCCATTACAGATGTCAGGGAGGAGGGCCTCAGACTGACGCTTCCCAACAAGCATTCTGGAGCACAGTGGTGAGGGGGCTGGCCAGAGCCAGCCTCAAAATGTCGGTTTCTTTGTGGACAGTCAGGCCATTGCAGGCAGGGCTGAGTTACCACCTGTTTCCTGGAAAGTAAATTATTTGACAACCCTGGGCTTTGCTTAGTTATCTGAGAGTGAAACAAAGATCATTTATTTGAACCTGTGGTGGTTGTTAGTCCCTGTAGCCTCCTCATCTGAAAGGATGGCCGTGCCCTCAGCTTTGCTTTAGGCAGGCCCTTAGGGTGCACTGGTTCTGAAGTGTTAATGTTAGAATGTAGATACTGAGTCTTATTGTTTAAGAGTCTCTCATGAACGCCTTTGTTTTGATTGGAAGGTCATCGTTAGATTACATTCAATTAATTTTAGGTGAGTTTGCTTAGTTATCGTGTGTGGGAATAGTATTGTCATCTTGGTGGGATTGGTTAAGGAAGTGAGATTCAAATCTTCCTCTTTAGATCAAAATAAATTCTCAATCAAGTGAAGACTAAGATATTAAAAAGCAAAACAAAACGTAAGACAAAGTAAAGGAAGGAATAGAACAGGGCTGGAAGGAAAAGGAGGGAGGGGTGAGAGGATCCAAGATGGCTGCTCAGGTAGACACCTAACCGCAGCAGCACACAACAATTTCAATGGAATACAACTAAAATGTACAGTGGACGTTGCCCAGAGCTACAGGTAGTCGACTGACTGAAAATTCTACAACAAGAAGGAAAGAGAAAACCAGAAGGAAAATCAGAGGAGCTGAAAAAGCCTAAGGTACGGAGACATGCTACGTGTGCGGAGAGGACACAGACGGAGAGGAGGAGAAGGCTGGGTGCCTGCCTGGCGTTCTCTAGCAGGAAGGAAATAGAAGCCCCGGACTGGGCTGAACCCCAGAACCGGCAGCGCTGAGCCCCAGTTCTGGGCCAGACCCTGGGGACCAGGCTCGGGCAGAGGGAGACGGGGCTGTGAGGCGGAATCCCAGGGGAGCAGCGAAAAGCGGAGCCCCCGGAGTTGCGCACATTTCGCGCAAGGGAAGGAATGTTGACTCTGATGGGGGATTGTCCTGGCGGGAAGGAAACAAAACCTCCGCCTGTGCTGAGCCCCAGTTCCGACTGCTCTGAACCCCAGTTCTAGGCCAATCCCTGGGGACCCAGGCTCAAGCAGAGGAAGACGGGGCTGTGAGGCAGAGTCCCAGGGGAGCGGCGAAAGGCCGAACCCCCGGAGTCACGCACATTGCGCGCAAGGGAAGGGATGTTGACTCTAATGCTGGATTGCCCTGGCGGGAAGGAAACAGGAGCTCCAGCCGTGCTGGCCCCCGGTTTCGACTGCTCTGAACCACAATTCTAGGCCAGACCCTGGGGACCCAGGCTCAGGCAGGGGGAGACGGGGCTATGAGGCAGAATCCCAAGGAAGCGGCGAAAAGCGGAGCCTCCGGAGTCGCGCAATTGCGAGCAGAGGACAGTCTGTTGACTCTGATGCTGGACTCCCCTAGCGGGAAGGAGAAAAAAAGCTCCAGACTGGGAGGAACACGATGAGGAGCAGGAGCCCCTGCCAGACACCGGCCAGCCGGGCACCAGAAAGGAGCCGGGCGACGGGGCCCCCGGGGGAGGAGGGGTACCCCTGGGCCTTCGACCGCTGAGCGCGGGCCACAGAGCTGAGGCCTGGGGCTGCTTCCTGGGCGGTGCCGACCCCGGCAACAGGCTGAAACCACTCAGGAGACCGCGGAGAACAAAGGGGTGCCGCAGGCCAGCCTGCTGAGCTTCCAGGACGAGGAAGAAGAAACCGAAGAAGTTTTCAATATGAAGAAATCAAGTGAGAGCAAAAGACAGTAAAATTACTTAAGAAAGAATACAAAGAAGATCTTGAAAAATCGAAGACTAAGTCAGAACTCAACTCAGCAGCCAACATTGCAACATAAATGCGTTTAAAAAAAAAAAAGGGACAGAATGTTGGAACGGTGGCAGCCAGGCCTAGAGTGTTCAGGCACAAGGCATTGGCAGCCGGGCCCAGAGCAGCAGCAACCATACTTGGAGCAGCCAGGTCGGGAGCGGCCAGGCCCGGAGAGGCCAGGCCCAGAACAGCCAGGTCAGGAGCAGCCAGGCCCAGAACAGCAGCAGCCAGGCTGGGAGCGGCCAGGCCCGGAGCAGCAGCAGCCAGGTCGGGAGCGGCCAGACCCGGAGCGGCTGGGCCCAGAACAGCCAGGTCAGGAGCAGCCAGGCCCAGACAGCAGCAGCCAGGCTGGGAGCGGCCAGGCCCGGAGCAGCCGGGTCTGGAGCAGCCGGGCCCAGAGCAGCCGGGTTGGGAGCAGCCAGGCCCGGAGCAGCAGCTGCCAGGCCAGGAGCGGCCGGGCCCGGAGCAGCCGGGCCCAGAGCAGCTGGGTCGGGTGCAGCCAGGCCTGGAGTAGCAGCAGTCAGGCCCGGAGTGGCCAGGCCCAGAGCAGCAGCAGCCAAGCCTGAAGCAGTCAGGTCGGGAGCTGCTAGGCCCGGAGCGGCCAGGCCCGAAGCAGCCAAGCCCAGAGCAGCAGCAGCCAGGCCGGGAGCAGCAGTGGCCAGACCCGGAGCAGCTGGTTGTGGAGCAGAGGCCAGGCCCAGAGCAGCCAGGCCCGGAACAGCTTGCTCCTCACCTGCCCCCGCCCCAGGGCTGCCTCTCAGACATGGCTGGAAACTTTTGGGGGAACTTGAGGGTCTGCTGAATCAAGTGATGAAGGCTTAGATCTGGATGTGTTGAGTTAGTATAGCGCTGGGGTGTTGATCTGTGAGTGCCTTGTGTGGGGTCTGGATGAGGTTGGTTGATCTATTTGGAAATGTCTTTTGTGTGAAGTGGGCATGTGGAGGTATTATTGATATGAGAAAATGCTAAGTAACTGATTTACCATCTGAAAAATTTAAAGTTCTGAAAGTTTAAGGTCTCTTGCCAAAAAGAGGTTTTAAAGCTAACACCTTAATTTTAATGGAGAAAGGGGAGGACAAGCCCTTCCCACCCAGAACAGGTAATCCAATTCCAACCAGCAGCTATCTTTAAACAATGTGCCCATTTACACTTGAATGGCTACACCTTTTGATAGCCTAAGGGCAAGTTTACATGTAAACAAGTTTGCTTCTCAATTCCCAGGGCAGAAAAAAACAAGGTTTAAAATTATTAGATTTTAAAATTTATTCTTAGAAGTGTAGAAATTTATTAATTAACAAAAAACACAAATAACCACAACAAAAAAAGGAGATTGAAAAACCTGATGAACAATAATAGCTGTTCATTGTATTAGAGTCAGCGATATGGGAGGGGAGTGGACTGACCTCAGGGAAAGGGGGAGTGGTGGGGGGGAAGAGACTGAACATAAACTGTGCACCTATGGATGAGGACAATGGAGGGTGGGGAGGGTGCGGAAGGTGGGGTGGGAACTTGGTGGAGGGGGGAAGAAATGAGGAACCTTTGTAATAATATGAACAATAAAGATTGATTTAAAAAAAAAAAAAAGAAAAGGAGGGAGGGAAGGAAGACAGGTGGGAATAAAAGCAAAAAATTAACGTAAAAGTTACGGGAGATTTTTAAAAATAATATTCCTGGAGCAGGAAAGGCCTCTTACAAGTTGATTACAAAACCCAGAAATAGTAAAATGGTAATGCAACAATTTTACCCTGACAAACACCATGAGAAAGATTAAGACAGGTACAATCTAAGAAAAAATAGACACAGCTCTTCTCAGACACAGCCCTGTGAACCCACCCAGGAGACGGTGGGCGAAGGACACAAACAGACAGTCTCCAGGAAAGGGTGTCCCAGGGCATCGCACCCATAGGTTTGTTCTTGTTTACTGAAATGCTCATTAAAACCACACTGTGATGTCTGTGACCCATCCTATCCGCAGTGGGCATGCATTTGATGACCCTCTGTGAGGTAGGTAGGGAGGCCACTGCAGAATGCTCACGTCAGGAAACTTTGAAATGTCATGCTAACAGAATCAATCAAGTCCGACCACGTGACCTAACAGTTCCATTTCTAGGAAGGCAACTTAGAAACACACAAATTAAATGAGACCTGTGCCAGCTTATCTATTATAGATTGTTTGAATGTAGATAGTAATCTGCTTTTGAGCAGTAGGAGGCATATTAGAGACTGAATCAACCATTCAGGAGGTGAAATATCACAGTCACAAAAACAAACGAGATTTCACGTAATGATTTTGAAAGATCTTAAAGATTCAGTGTTAAGAAAAGGCAGGACTGGACTTTATCTCTTTTTTTTTTTTTTAATAAATTTTTATTGTTCATATTATTACAAATGTTCCTCCCCCCCCCCCGCCCTTTCCCCACCCCCCATTGTCCTCATCCATAGGTGCACAGTTTATGTTCAGTCTCTTCCCACATCCCCCTCTCCCCTTTTCCC